TAAATACTAAATTTTCTTAAGCTAAAAAAGATTTGAAAATACTTAATATTAAATTCGATTTTAACAGAAACGTAATCCTTAACTAAATAATATATACTTAAATACGTAAGGCCGTCGAAAAAAATATTAAACGTAATAAAAAACTAAATAAACTTTTTAATATTAATACCGCTCGATTAATAAAAACTTAAATTAAAAACGATCGTAATATTATTAAAATATAAAAAATATTTAATACTACGTTTAAAAAACTTAAAAGTAAACACTAAAAAGTTTTAAATTTTATTAATTAAATAAATACGTTTTAAAATATTATTAATATCGTTATTACTTCTCTTAACAAAAAATAATAAAAACTTAAATTTAATATATTTATTATTTTCGATAGGATTTTTAAAACTTTAAAAAGATTTTTAATTTAAATTAAGAACTTTTAAAACTTTTATTAAAAAAATTTTAATAACGAAATTAAAAAAATCGTATACGCCGTTAACTTTTTTAAAAAATAAGTTTTTAAATAATTTAAACTTTTTTAAAAAAAGTATTTTAAAAAAAAGATTTTTAACGAATATTTTATTAAAGTACGAGATATTTATTATAATTTCGATAAGTTTAAAAAAGCTTTTAAATCGCTTTTTTAAAATTTAAATAAAAAACGATAAGCCGAGCGTAATATATTATAATTCTAATAAATTAAATTAATAAAAGATTACTTAGTTAAGTTTAAATGCTTTAATATTTAACTTAATTTTATTAATAATATTAAAATTTTTATATTTTATTAAAGATTAAAAGATAAGGTTAAGGACGAATTTATTAAAATTAACGAACTAAACGATTTCTTTTAATATATAAAACTTATAATTAAAATTAATAACCGCTTTTATAAAAAAAAAAGAAAAAAAAATAATAATAAAAACTTAATTTAAAACGTAAATATTAATAATAACCTTAATATAATTTTAACTAAAAACACCGTTATAATAAGAATAATAACCCTCGATAAATTACTATTTATAAATAATATAATAAATTTATAAATTTTAATATAGCAAAACGGGACTAATCCTATTAAAAAAAAATTTAAATATTATAATTATAATAAGTTAAAATATATAATTAAAAATTATAAATAACTTAAACGAATTTAATAACGACCTATCCTTAAAAAATAAATTAATATTATTTTTAAAAAAATACTTTATAAATTTCTCTTTTAAATTATATATTACGATAATAACTACTTTATTTACCGAGATAATAAAAAATAATTAAAATAGTATTTTAAAAAACCTTTTAATAAAACCTTTATTATAATAAATAAATAAAAAATAATTTAATACCTTAAGATTATTAAAAATTATAATAAAAAATATATTTAAATATTATTAATAATATATAAAGTAATTAAAATATAACTTATTAATTTTTTTAAACAAGCGTAAACCTTTACGATAATAAAAAATAAATTAAAAAAAAAATAATAATTAAAAATTAAAACGACCTATTTTAATTAAAAAACGAGATCTTAACTTATAAAATATAAATTTTAAATAAATCTATTTATATAATATAACGAATATTTAATAAAATAGTTTAATATTATAAATAACGCTTTTTAATAATAAAAGATTATAATAAAAATTATATTTATATTTTAATTAATTATTATAAAGCCGGCCGATTATTAAAAAAAAAGTAATTAAATATAAAAACGATATTTATTTTATTTTAATAACGATTTAAAAAATAATTAAAAACTAAAATAAAAAAAAACCTTTTTTAATTAAAATACGAAATTAATAAAAAAAATAGATATTATATATTTAATATACGGACCCTAGACGTTAAAAAAACGTTATTATTAATATATTAAAAAACTAAACGAAGCTTATTATATAATAAACGCTTATATTCTTTAATATTTAATTATAAAAACAGTTTTTATTATTTTATAATAATAATTATATAAGTAATTTAAAATAATAATAAAAGATAATATATTCTATTTAAAATAAAACTTTCCTATATTTAAAAAAAATATTAAGTTAAATAATTTAAATAAAGAAATTATTAACGATATATTTACGGAATTTAATATTAAAGGATTAAATTACGACCTTTTTTTAAATAATATTAATATATCGAATTATAAATAGTTAATAAGTTAATAATTATTTTATAATTTAAATGAATTTTATAACGTCGCTTAATAACGTATTTAATTAAAAATCGATTATAAAATATTACCTAATATTAACGATTTTATTATTAAAAAAAAAGCCGATTTAAATAGGTAATTAAAATAATAAGAATTTATAAGTTTTTAAAGAGAATTAAATTAGCTTACTAAAAATTTAAAAAACTATTTATATAATTAATATATTTTAAATATATAATTTAATATTAAAATATTTAGAAATTATAAATTATTTTTTAAAAAGAGAGAACTTATTAATAAAAAAATAAACGATATTTATAATATTATTAACGTATTATATTTATTTATTAAAAAATAAAAGCGTCTTAATTTAATAATTAATTATAAACGGCTTATAAAAAAAAATACTAACCCTCGAGATATTAAAAAATTAAATACGTTAATTATAAAAAAATAACGAAAAATAATTAAAATAAATAAGTTTTTATATTTTATAATACTTTTTAATAAAAAATATTTATAATTTAAATTTTAGATAAACGGATATAATATAAGCGTTATTATTAATAACGGCGTTTAAAAAATCTTTATTTTATTAAAAATAGTAAATAAATATAAATTATTATAAATATAAAAAACGAATTTATATACTTTACGAATAATAAAAAAAAATAAATTAATTATAACGACGGATATATTAATTAAAAAATTATATATTTTATAATATATATTAATAATTAATTAAAATAATTAAAATACGATATTACGGAGATCAGAAATATTAATATTATTTTAAGAATTTCGTAATTATAAAAATATAATTTACGAATAAATTAAAAAACCGGCTAACTTTATTAAATAAACTTAATTATTAAACGATTTAAAAAAAAGGGTTTAAATAAGTTTTATATAATATTTAACGAACGAAAATAAATTAAATATATCGTTTTTATTAAAATAATAAAACTTATTAAAATATTTATATTTAATACGGACGATTAAAAATCGGACCTATTTTAAATTATATTTAAAAAATACCGGATTTATATAAAACTATTCGTTTTAAAAAAAAAATAAGATTATTAAAATATAATAATTAAGATATAAAAATCGAATTAAAAAAAAGAATATAATTTAAATTTTATTTATTATATTTTATAAATTAATTTAAATATAACGAATTTAATAAGTATATCGACGATAAATTTAAAAAGGGTTATATTAAATTATTATTTTTTTTAATAGGAGTATTAATCTTTTTTATATTTTAAAAAAGTAAAAAGAAATTTAAATTTATAATCGATTATAAAAAATTTAACGAAATTATTAAAAAAAATTATTATTTATTACCTTTTATTATAGAACTTAAGAAAATATTATATAGAACTTAATAGTTTACCGTAATAAATTTTAAAAAAATATTTAATTAAATTAAAATTAAAAAAGGAAACGAATAAAAAACAGTATTTTAAACTTATAAAAAACTTTATAAATACTTAGTTATACCTTTCGAACTTATTAACGTACTTATTATATTTTAAATAATAATTAATTACGTATTTAGGGAATATATCGATATTTTTATAATTATTTATTTTAATAATATCCTTATTTTTTTTTTAATTTTAAAATATATAAGAAATACGTTTATATAATATTTTAAAAATTTTAAAATATAAAACTTTTTACTAAGTTTAATAAATACGAATTTTATATATAAAAAATAAATTTCTTTAATTATATAATTATATTAAAATAAATTTATATATAAGTATTTAAAATAATAATAATTAAAGACTAACCTATATTTATTAATATTAAAAACGTATAGTTATTTTTAAAATTCGTTAACTTTTATTAATAATTCTTTAAGGACTACGTTAATATTATTAAACCTCTTAATAACTTAATAAAGAAAAATATAACCTTTATTTAAAATAAAAAATATAAAAAAGCTTTTAATAAAGTTAAAGATTTAATTATTTTAAAATTAATAATTATAATTCTAGACTTAAAAAAACCGTTCGAAATTAAGACTAACGCCTTAAACTTTATTATAAAAACTATTTTAAAATAACGAAATTAATAAAAAATATTTTATTTTTATATATTTTATTTTAAAACGTTCTATAAAATAAAATTAAATTAATAAATTTATGATGAAAAATTAATAATTATAATTAAAATTTTTAAAAAATAGAGATTATAGTTTTTAAAAACTAAATATAAAATTATTATTTATATAGATTATAAAAACCTTACGAACTTTATAATAAATAAAAATTTAAATAAATAATAAATTAAATAGAGCGAATTTTTATTAAAATTTAATTTTTAAATTATTTATTAAAAAAGTTTAAAAAATAATAAAATAAACGTTTTTAATAAACGATTTAATTACGAAGTTATAGTTTTTAAAGAAATATAAATAATTTTTAAATATAATAATAACAATAATTTTATATTTATTATAAAACTTTTTATAATAGTTAGAAAAATTAATATTAACCCGTTTAGAAAAATAATTCCTAAGCTTATTATAAAAGTTTATAATATTTAAATATACGGTTATTAAAGTATTATAAAAACATAAAAACGGATTTATTAATATTATAATAAAACCGTTATAAAAGTAAAAGTCGTTAAGGCTATTAAAAATTATAATATTTATAAAAAAAGTAAAAATAGCCCTTATAAGCTTTATAAAAAGCTATAACTTTTACCGGTATTATTAAAAATATAGTATTTAATTTTTTAAAATTTTATTATTAAATTATTAAAGTTTAAAAAACTATTTACGAATATATAATATAATAATATTTTAATTATCGTCGACCGACTTATTAAATTTATTTATTTTATATTATATAAAAAAATAAATAATATTAAAAAACTAATATATACTTTCTTTAAAATAGTTATTATTAACTACGATTTACTTAAAGAAATAATTTCCAATAAAAATAAGCTATTTACCGCTAAATTTTAAAAATTTTTAATTTCATAATTTAATATAAATTATAAATTATTAACTTTTTTTTATTTATAAACCGATAAATAAATAAAAAGAATTAATTAAATTTTTAAAATATACCTTTGCTATTATATAAATTACGATTAAAATAATTAAATAATATTATTATTAATAGCTTAGTTTATATATAATAACGTAGTTAATAAAAGTATAAAAAAATCCCTTTTTTATTTTAACTACGGATTCTAATTAATTATATATAAAAAAATACGTAAAAGATTATAAGTTATAAAAGCCGTAATAAACGTAAATAAATTTAAAAAGATTTAAAAAAAAACCTTTTTAAATTTTAAATTTATATAATAACGAATAAAAAAATATATCGATAAATTAAAAATTAATAAATTAATTTTAAAAAAAAGAAATAGTATATATCTTTTTCGCCATAATATTAAAACAAAGCGATTAAATAATAAATTAAATTATAAAAAACTTAAACTTTTTAAAATTATTAAGAAAGTTTTATTAATTAATTTTAAATTAAAACTTTTAAATACGATACGATATTACCCGGTTTTTTATATTTTATTTTTAAAGCCGGTATTTAAAAGCTTATATATTAAAGATCGTATTATTATCGAACTTAATAAATTAAAATATAAAGTCGAACGAATTATTAATTACCGAATTAAAGAAAAACGTAAAAAATACCTTATTAAATAAAAAAATTATAGATATAAAGATAATATATAAAAACTTATTACGAATTTTTAGAATTTTTAATAGCTTTTTAAAAAATATTAAAATTAAATTTAAACTTAGAACTCTTAGCTATTACGGCGTTTTAATTAATAATATTAAAAATATTATTACTTTATATCTCCTAGGCTACTAAAGAAATACTTTTAATATTTTTAAAAAATTCTTTTAATACGATACGACTTTTTTTAAATACTATTCGTTTTTAAAAATAAAAGCGTTTTAATTTAAATAACGACTTATTTAATTTAACTTAAGCTTTTTAATAAGCTTTAATTTTTATTTATAATTTTATAATTTTTTTTTAAAACCGCGACTTTTTTATTTATTTTTTATAATTAAAACGATCGGACTTTATTATTAAACGATTTATTATATTTATTAATTAAGACCCGTAAAAAATAATTCTTAAGAAATTTATAAATATAAATAGTATTAATAAAAGTATTATATAAAATATTTAGACGATAGTATATTTTATAAATATCGGAATTAAAAAGAACTAAATAATAAATATTTTAAAAACGATAATTTAAATACGGTATTATTTTTATATTTTTATTAAAAAAATAAATAATATATAATAAATAGCGATAAGATATAGTTATTTACGATTTTAATTTTTTAATTCGATTTAATATAGCATTAATATATTTTAATAAAAATATTTAACGATTCTTTAATTTAAGAATAAATAATTTATTTATAAGCTTAAGGATTAGATTTTTAAAAAGAGGAGTTAATATTATAATTTAATATGTATTACTAAACCAAGGCCTTATTTTATAAGACTTACGGCGGTTATTATATTATATATATAATAATAAAAACTTAAATAGCCTTTTTTAAAATAGAAAAATTATAAATAAATTATATAATTATAATCGTATAATAAAATAAAAAACGGACGTTTACGAATAAATAAAATAGGCGATTATAAAAATATAAAACGGACGACTATTTAATAAATAATTAAATAATAATAAATGAAATATTATAAAGGATATATTTACGATTAGGATTTATATATAGGATAGCCCGAGCTAGGCTTGAGGATAAATTTTTATAGCTTTTTTAATAATTAATTTTTATATTAAATTTAATAATCGCTTTTAATTATCTTTATTAAGAACTTATTTAATAAGACTACGATTAATTACTAAAGCCTTATTTATTTCATAATTTATAAATAATAAGCTTTATTAAAGCTATTCTTACGACGATTACTATTTATAAATATTATAGCCCCGACTTTTATTAATATAAACCTTATTATAACTAGCTAGCCGTAACACTTATTTTTTAATCTTTAATAAAATATAAAAATCTTAATATCGTTAATAAGATTAAGTTAAGTATTAAAGCGTTTAAACTTAGCTAAGTAGTCCTTTATTAATTTAATTTATTAAAATTATAATATATCGTATTTAGTTTATCGTTTTTTATTTAAATTTTAAAAAAGCGATTTAAAAACTTTTTCAAACCCGTCGAAGTTATAATAAATATTTTATATTTTAATAAAGTATTTATTAAAAATCTTTTTTTTAAAATATTCTTTTTAAAAAGGTTTAAATTATTTAAAAGCTCGTTTTTTAAAAAAGTTAACGGCGTATATAATTTTTTTAATTTCGTTATTAAAATCTTTTTAATAAAAGTTTTAAAAGTTTTTAATTTAGATTAAAAATCTTTTTAAAAGTTTAGGGGTCTTATTAAAAGTAATAAATATATTAAGTTTAAGTTTTTATCGTTTTTTATTAAAAGGGGTAGTAACGATATTAACGGTATTTTAAAATATATTTATTTAATTAGCGAGATTTAAAACTTTTTAATATTTATTTTTAAGTTTTTTAAACGTAGCGTTAAATATTTTTTATATTTTAATAATATCGCGGTCGTTTTTAATTTAAGCTTTTATTAATTAAATAATATTAATATTAAAGAGTTTATTTAATTTTTTATTATATTTAACGTTTTTTTTAATAATTTTACGTATCTAAGCGTATATTATTTAATTAAAAACTATATTTTTATTAAAATCGAATTTAATATTAAGTATTTTTAAATCTTTTTCGGCTTAAGAGAGTTTAATATTTAAAACCTAAAGCTATTTACTTTTATTAAAAGAAGATTAAGTAAATATTATTTATACTATTTAATAAGTTTTTATAAAATCGATTTATTAAATAAAAATAATTAAAGTATTACGGCTAACTAATCGTAATAAGGTTTATATTAATAAAAATTAAAACTACGATATTCGTAAATAATAATTATTATAAAAATAATTTTAATAAAATTATTATTTATAAATCGTAAAATAAGTAAAGCTTTAATAATTAATTATAATTTTATTAAATAAGTTTTTAATAAAAATAATTAAAAGCGATTATTAAATTTAATATAAAAATTAATTATTAAAAAAGTTATAAAAATCTATTTTTAAACTTAGCTTAAATTATTTTATATATAAATCTTAATTATAAATATATTTTTTATAATACTTTATTTATTATTATTTAATTATTTATTAAATAGTCGTTTATTTTATATTTTTATAATCGCTCGTTTTATTTATTTATAGGCGTCCGTTTTTTATTTTATTATACGATCGTAATTATATAACTTATTTATAATTTTTTTATCTTAAGGGAGGCTATTTAAGTTTTTATTATTATATATATAGTGTAGTAGCCGCCGTAGGTCCTGTGGGGCAGGGCCTTAGTTTAGCAATACGTATTAAGTCGTAACAATTTATTATTTTAAATCTTTATAAGCTTAATTAATTATTAAAAAAGTATAGATTTATTTTTTTTTTATAAAGAGCGTTATATTATAAAATATATCGAATTTTATTTTATATTATTATTAAGCGTTAATATAAGCTTTTACGATGACTTTTTAAAAAAAGTAAATATATCGTTCTTATTAATTTTATTATTAACTTTAAAAAAGGCTTTATATTATTAAAACGATAAATAAATAAATTTAATAATATTCCGAAGCTTATTAATAAGGCCCTTAATATACTAAAAGTTAAAATCTTTTTAAAATTACCCAACGTTAATTAATATATCTAATTCTTATTTAAATACCTCTTTATTATTATTAAATAAAAAAGCCTTACTAATAAGGTTAAGAATATAATTATAATACTTAATCCTTTAGTTAAAAACGTTTTTTTAAATATAAATATAAAATAATATAAAATATAAATAACCTAAGCAAATATCGTTATTTAATACATTATCGTAAATAATTATTTTAATTTAATCGCCTAATTCTTAATCATTTATTATAAATTTCATAATCTAAGTAATATTAGCCCTATCGTAAGTATTATATTAACATCGTAAAATAATAAAATATTATATCTATTATTTAATATAGTTTAAAAAGTAAATAAAAACAGTAATAATAATATTCTACGTTAATAAGGTTTATAAATTAAATAATAAATAAATTTTCGTTATTAACCTCCGGATCTTTATTTTGATTATATTTTTCTTTTTAATAAAAATCCTATTTAACTCTTTTTTTATACTTCCGTATAATAATAAAAATTCATTAATAATATTATAATTTAATTAATAAAAAAGGGCCCGGAAATAAAGATTTTAAAAAGTTATAAATAAGCTATTATTATTAATAATATATTTAATTATTAACTCCTCGATTCTCATTATTTAGCCTTTTATAATAATATTAAAAATAAATTTCCGTCTCTTTAATATAAAATTATATTTTAAAAATTTTAATAAATATAATAATTCGTTAAAACTTAAATTTATTATTTAGTATTTTAATTTTAAATAAGCCGTCGTTAAGTTTATAATTATTATTTTAAAATAAATAATAATATTTATTTTATTATAACGACGATAAAATTAAAAGACTTTACTTTAATTATTTTTATTATAAATTTTTTAAATAAAGACCTTTTTTAAACGAATTTATAATTTCTTTAGCCTTACGTTTTTTTATAATATTAAATCGTTGTTTATAAAAGTCTTCTTTTTTTAAATTATTTTTAAAAAAACGAGGAGGTTATTATAAATATTAAGGTCGGTCGATAATATAAAATTAGCGTCTATTAAAACTTATAATTATAAAATAATTTAAAACGGTTACGGTACGCTAAAGATTATACGACTTATTATTAATTAATTAATTACGATATAATAAATTAATTAATATATAATTTAATTAATTTTAATAATAATTATAATAATCGTAAAAAGTTAAAAATAGTAATATATAACTTCGTTAGTTTTATCAATATTAAAAAAAAAGGTATTAATTAATTAAAAAGGTTTTTTTAAATCCTATATATTAAAAAGTATTAAATCTAACGTTATATATTACTTAGGCTTTTTTTTTTAATAATAATTATTAATAATATTTTATATAATTAAATAATATAATACTTTATTTATAACCGTAAATAAAAAGTCGTAAGTTCGAATTTTATTATAAGAGTTTATATTACTTATAATAAACTTAACGGTTTATTTAAATAATATATATTTTTAATTAACCCGGCCTCGGATTTTCTTTTTTCCGGGCGATCTTTATTTAATTAAATAAGTTAAATATAGGGCCTCACGATATTTGATTATTTAATTTGCTAAAATCCTTATATTTGATTGTTTATTTGACTTATTTGTTTGATTGATTTGAATGGGTAGGTGCGCTGGTCATGGTCTTCCAAGGCCACTCAGAATCGGCACCTACGCGGAGATCTTCAACATGATTATGCACCTAAGCCCCGTCAGCTCCTTCAAGGTGCTTCGAGATCGCAGGCAGGGAGCATTTGAGGAACCGCAGAAAATTGACGTTACCGACAGTGTGGACAATGAGGCGGCTGGAGAATTCAAATTGCTGATGCCGAATCTTCTCGACTTACTTTGTCTGACAAGAAACAGTCTTGCAACGGATGCGAGAGACAAGATCTACGGTCTTTTAGCACTCACTGACGACCCTGTCGCTCAGTCCATCGTTCCTGACTACTCCCTTGATAATACGCCATCGAAGGTCTTCACCGAGGTTGCGACAGACATGGTTGAGGCTGGATACGCTGTTGACTTGCTGCACCATGCCGGTATCGATCAAAGCATCCCAAACCTTCCTTCCTGGGTGCCCGACTGGACGATGCAGTCGCGTTCGACTCTATCGGCCCAGCTATACAACTGCATGCCGGATACAGCTCCTACTGTATCAATCTTGGCCTCAGAAGGAGCCCCGAAATTAAGTATCCGAGGAGCGATCCTGGCCCGGGTCAATTTCGTGGGTCCTTCGTGGAGATACTACACCCATGATCAATCCGCTCCCCCGTTCAACAGTTTTGAGAATGCACCAGACATCGAGATTCCACCATTCAATGACGAAAATTCTAGAAACTTCATCCTCAGTTTCGCTAGCCAAGCAATTCAGGACGACCTTCAAGATCGATACACCGACGAGGGCCTTGAAGACGCACTCGTGAGGACCCTGGCGATGGACCGATCTTGGCAGGGCGAAAGAATCGGGAAGAGGGAGAGACCAGAAGAGAAAGGAAGCGAACTCTCTCCTTTCGCTCCTGCTATGGGGCATGGCGATGAATCTTCAACCTCAACGTCGAAAGAGTTCTTCGCGGGGGTGGACGCATTCCAGCGCTTCTATGCCCGAGGGCCGGACTCGGAGGAGGATGAGCGCGCACCGGGTATACGCGTGCATCAGACGGCCATATTCAAATGGCTTCTCGATTTTGATGCCGAAGTCGAGGCAGACCTCCAGAAACGCATGGTACCCTTCGCGGTTCCCTTTCAAGAGGCTCAATGTGGTCGACGATTTGCCAAAATCGGTACAAGAGGGCCTAAAAGTGCAGAGGACATTGAGCAAGATGCCGTGAAGATGAGAGAGAACCCAGCAAGGAAGTCTTACGAAACAAAGCCTCTGGAGTATCATAGTATAGGCACGATTCCGTGGAATGCCCAGGTTGAGGATTATGTGGTCCTGCTCGAGGGATTCAGGACACCCTTCATCTTGAGAAAAGGGCTAGATCATGCTGAGGCGGGCGAGAGAGAGATATTCCACATCATTGGCGATTGCTATGTTCATGGCGTCATGGATGGCGAGCTCTTGAGGCCGATCGGCAGAGTCGAGGAAAGGCTGAAGGCTGACCAAGTCGGAGTCAACGACCAGGGAGGAGAGTATGCTGTAAGAGGCCCTGAAGGCTACCTGTCCTTCCAAGATTTTGTCATTGCATAGAAACTCATTTGGTGTCATTCGAATGAGCTTACTAAATGATTGTTGAGTTCATGCAACAAGGGATCTGGAGAAACCTTGGTTTGGCTGCACTCGACTGTGGGACGATAAATTGCCTTGCTCACGAGTTTGGAAACTGAAATTTGTTGCTTTCTTCTTCTCCTGAAATTAACACCCTCCTGCTGCGGGTCCTGCTCACGATCGATCGTTGTTACCTCGGGATGTTGTCATGGACCTGCGGGGGATCGGCATTAACCTCGGATGACTAATGAAAAGTTGTCTTGCAAGTCCCCAAGTCCCATCCAATTGTTTCAGCCCGTTTAAGGTTTCAATTCTCCTTGTGGCTCGCCGAAGCTCTTATTCGTGTACACTTTGTGAGTTGTTGACAGGTACTGTTGTTTATTTTCGTCTCTCGACCATGGGCTCTTTCGAAGAGCTTATCGACACCGCCGTGCGGAATCGTGATATCCCTGGAATCATGCTTCACGCTCAAGACAAGTCTGGTGAGCCAATCTTTCCGACAGGGAGAATGACCTCACCTTTCATGATTGCTGAAGAATCAAAACAGGCGATTTTCAATACTCACATGTGTACGGGGATGACTTGAAAGGCGCAAAGCCTCTGTCAAGTGACAACATTCTCACTCTTGCCTCGGTCACGAAGCTCTTCACCACAATCGCTGCATTGCAGCTTGTGGAGCGCGGCATCCTGACCCTCGACGGTGATGTAGCAAAACACATACCGACACTGGCGCAGAAGCCCGTTCTCACCGGCTTCACCGAATCCGGGAAGCCCATCGAAGTCCAGCGCAAGAAGCCCATCACCTTGCGCCACCTGCTCACCCACAGCGCCGGAAACAGCTACGACTTTCTCAGCGACGCGACGCGGGAGTGGCAGTCTTTCCACGGGATCAAACCCGTGCGCGGGTCCACCGTCGAGGAGCGCTTCGGGTACCCGTTGAACTACGAGCCCGGAGAGGATTGGGCTTACAGTTCGAGCTCGGATTGGACAGGGAAGCTGATTGAGAATGTGTCGGGAAAGTCGCTTGAGCAGTACATGCGGGAAAACATCTGGGACCCCATGGGCGCGGCGAGTTTCACGTTCGACGTTGAGTCTGCGAGACCCAAGTTGTGGGGCATGAACACCCGTGCTAAGGATACGGGGAAGATCATCCTTCATCGCGGACGAGAGTTGAATCAGGGAGTAACGGAGTGTCTTGGTGGACAAGGATCGTACGGCTCGGCTCCAGATGTCTTGCGGGTGTTGCGTTCGTTGCTGGTCGATGATGGCAAGCTGCTGAGCCCAACAATGACTGCAGAGATGTTCAAGCCTCAGCTCTCGTTGCAGGCTAAAAGGGGTCTGTTGAGTGCATTGGAAGAGCCGGAGTGGGCGGTTGGTCATTTCCCAGTCACGGGTGAGTACGACTGGGGTCTTGGAGGGCTGCTTGTGGACGGAGACAGTCACCCGTACCGCCGTAACGGAACCTTGATGTGGAGTGGCGCGTCAAACGTTTTCTGGGTAAGCACATTCCCTCGCACCTGGCCTGTGTAGGCAAACGTCTGATTCTATGCAGTGGATTGACCGGCAAACTGGACTGTGTGGTTTCTTTGCCACACAGATGCTCCCCGCGGCGGAAGAAGGGGTTCGGCCGTTCATCAAGGCCTTTGAGGACGAAATGTACTCGAAGATGAAGAGTTCCAAGACTCGCGCGGTGCTTTGAGGGGTAATTAGACACAGACACAGAGCTTGAAGTTGATTAGAGTAGAGGTGGTTGAGAACTCTTGTGTTTGGGCAGATGTGGTGTTGTCATGTGTACGAGTTGGGAGAATAGCGGCGGACCCATCTCACAGCAGAGTGCGCAACTTCTCGTTTTGCCCACGAGCCTCCATAGCTAGTTCATCTCGAGGGTTCAAGCACATGCGACCACACCCACTGGAGAACTCGGGATCCCGTCCGCTCTCCCATCGATAAATCAGTGAGGGCCAGAGTAGTAGTCGGGTCGGTGACGACCGGCGAATGCCTGGTGTTGCATGTAGTTTTTTGCGTAAAATAACTAATCATCATCGGTTTGCTCGAGGACTCGGTCGGCTACTTTCGTAGCCTGCAAAGCGGTCGTTCCATGGGCGGCTTGATGGCGGTTCTGAGGTCGACAGCTAGCGATTAATATGTTTTCTTGAGCGGCCAAATGACTGCCTATTCGGATATTGGTGATGATGGACAACTATCTCGTCTGCGAGAAATGGGAGCCCGGTTGAAACCATGTCAAGATCCTCTTAGACAAGACTTTCACAGAGGCTCGCCGCACGGCCCGGCCACTCTGTAGTGACCATGGAACAACTAAGTGAAAACGCAGGCGGTTTCTTGCTATGCCTCTGTGTCTCTGCGCCTACTCGATCCCTGTTTAGGGCGAATTGCTCCGCATTGCAAATCATGCCTTTGTCTACGGTTGACATTGCATCTGTCTTGTCGTTCCGAGAATACGAGACGTATTATTCTAGCGCTAAAAGTCAAGTCGGCTGGCCCCCGACACACCGACTGTTGAAAAGTGCCTGTGCTGTGAACCTAAAAAAGGTTGGAGGCCGGAAAAGAGCTCAATTCATTGGCTGAAAATTCAAGAATCAAGGGTCGTTGAGCTAGTCCCCCGTACGCCCTCGTCATTACTCCTCAAGCTCTAGCGGTGGGGTTGCAGATGACTGCAAAATTGATCTCTTGACCTGCACGAACTTTCGGTGACCCAATGTAACCTGATTTACATGTAGGTAGACAAGGGGACGCAACAGTTTGTAACGTTGCTGATGCTCCCGTCTTATCATGCCTCGTTTTCTCTATTAGCGACGATCACCGTCAAAGAGTTTCAACGAATGATGCACGCAACTCTATGGGGAATGAGGGCTCGAGTGGTATGAACGTACCCGGTTCATGGAAACACTCCACGGCGACACGCCCGGGGACCTGGTCTGCTCTCGGCCCGTCGCCTCCTCCCAGAGGTCCATCGCGAGGAGAAATGCCCAATGCCTGTGAGCCCCATAAGAATCGGCACGTGTCAAGCCCCTTGGCGATTTATCACTAGCTGGTGGGTTTTAGCCGTCTTCAAGTCTGGTTGGTAGGATCGCTGAAGATTCTCCACTGCCCGAGGTTTCTTTAGGACAGGTAGGTCGGTCGAGATCTTCAAGCTGCCAACATTTGATCCATGCACATTGATGCACTGCCTTGTATCCGCGGTGTGGCGGTTTGAAAGGGACTGGGGGTTGCCTGCGGGCCCTGTTCCTTGGAAGTTGGGGTTGAGTTTCGGTGGATGAATACCGAGACGGGCCAGACCTCAGACGATCTAATTTGTAACCCCACGGCTTCAACATCAAACCCCTCACCGACGTTTCCTGATGTATTGAGAGCATTCATCATGGCGACTTCAGGAGATGAGATGCCCTCGCCTCCGACGGCTGAAGCCGTGGCTTCGGCACATGCAGAACAAGGCGTGAACCCGGCAACGGGCATCATTGTACGATTTGGTCTAGCCAGCGAGCTTGAACATGGGAGGAATGCGTCCTCTTTTGCTAACTAATAATGTGGTGAATCAGGATCCAGACGAAGGCGAAGTTGATTCCGCTATCAACGTCGTACGTGGGCCACTACCTTTTATGACTGTCGAGAAAGCCCTATGTTCAATCTCAACAGAATTACTTTGGGGGCTTATAAAGACATACCTAAAGTACGTACTCAAGCTGAACATATCTGCCGCTAGTCAATCCGCGATTCCCTCACTTCGATTCGCTCGTCCCTTCTCAATTTCGAAGATGAGCATGGGCGCCTATATCACTCTCACTCTCGGGGCAGTAAGTACCTCAACCGCATTCTCAAAGGTTACCATATCGATTCTAAAACCTGTGCAGAATATTACTTTCCCCACGACAATGTTGGTTGAGATTGCGATAATGCAGTTTGAACTTTTCTAAGAAAGCTCACACACCATAATTATCACAGGTCGAACAAGAGCGTTTGGATCTACAGCATGAACTCTTCATGAGGACGCTCAGAGGACGCCTTTGCACCTGTCCAAAGTCTTACGGCGCCAACCGAGTCCTCGATCTCGGAACAGGTACAGGAATTTGGGCGCTGGAATACGGTCAGTGCCTTACTTAAGCTAGAAATCACTGGCCCAAACTCACGGTAGACTCTCATAGCGGAGGAGCATCCAGAGTCTGAAGTGATCGGGGTGGACATAAGCCCGGTGCAACCTGATTTGTGAGTCAAGCTTCATGAGGCTACTGTCAACTCACCATCATGGTCAAAAGTTCTAAAGATCGCTCAGCATGCCTCCCAACTGCTCTTTTGAGATTGATGATCTCGAGAAACCATGGACATGGTCAAAAAGCTTCGACTTCATCTTCTCTAGAACTCTGAGCGGCAGTATCCTAGACCCAGCCAACCTGGTCGACAGCATTTACAAGTAAGTGATTCTGCAGTCTCTTGAGCCTGGTGACGACATACGAACGGTCAACTATCTAGTCAATTGGAGCCTGGCGGCTGGTTCGAAGCCCAAGACGTCTGCATGGAAGCTCGCAGCGACGACAACACACTACCCGAGAACAGCTACCTGGCGCAATGGGCGGATGAGGTGGTTGACGCCATGGAAAAAATCGGTCGGACGCTCAAGCTTCCCTTTAAGTGGAAGCAGCTGCTCATCGACCGCGGCTTCGAAGACGTCAGGGAGACTATTTACAAATGGCCGACCAACACCTGGCCGCGAGACAGGACGATGAAGGACATTGGCGGGTGGGGGCTGGCGAACCTTGACACCTTTCTCGAGACGGCGGCTCTCGGCACTTTGACCAACATCAAGGGGTGGTCGAGGGAGGAGGTCATCGTTTTGTGCTCAGAAGCGAGGAAAGAGATGCGGGATCCGAGGATTCATGTTTGGTGGCCTGTGTAAGTTTTCATAGGGACTCTGCAAGACCGTGTCGGTCTTCTTTGAGCGCTGTTACTAATTTTGATCTGTTAGATATGTCGTTTCTGGTCGCAAGCCAGGCTCGTCTGTCCAGTTGCCTGCTGCGTCATCTACAGCATAAGTTCCCAGAGATCGTCAATGGAGGCAGGTTTCTAAGCATCATTATTCGTTCAAGGGTCGCCCAAAGGTATTGGTGGAGAGTCTGTCGGTATGGAATGCCGCATTGAATGCCGCATGAGGGCCAATTCTTGCAGTATCAACCCAATTATTGTTGCGGATTTCTTCTTTGCACTGTTCTCTTTCCATAGAGATCGCTATAAGCAATGACTTCAAGCAGGACAAATCCGCAGTCTTCTGTGTTTACATGTAGTGTGGACCTGGCGGCAACTGCACAGAAGCTTTCCAGTTCTGAGATGAGCCAACGCTACTGTTCATCTGATCTCTCTGAGCCACCTTCAGTGCCTTGGTTCTCCTGATGGGCGCGCTTCTGACTGTTGATGTTCTTTAGCTTACTTGACTTTCTAGAGTGTCGTTGGATCGAGGCAAACTTACTCTCTTCGTCTATACATGTACCACATGAGCGTGACGCTAATGATTGCAAGACCTCCGAAAAGAATGAGGATTTGATAACCGTACTTGTACTTCGGCGCATCGTAGGTAGGGAATAAAACCACTGCAAATTGTGTTAGTCTGAAAACCAGGGTGGTGGACTTCGGCCTGAACCCACGTGGTACCCAAAGGACCCAAGCATAAGAAACCACATTGGCAGTGGCCACGAGTAGTTGTCTGAGACTAGGATCACCAGCATTCAGCCTATTGGCCCAGCTCTGCAATTCTCGTCAGAAACTGTCATTCAGTTATTCGCTTCGAGATACTCACGATGAGGACAGGAGTCGCGGCCGATCCGGCGTAGGAGAGATAATACGCAAACATCAATGCGCCCTTGGGAATGTACCACACGGAAAGCAGGATGTTGGACAGGATCATCAGAGCTTGAACAATGACAATCATTAGGTAGTTCTGTCCTGTGTGGTCGGCGATGATGCCCCAGATGACTGTAGCCACAATGTTCAGAGCGCTGCCGCCGGTTGGATAAATATTTGCATCGACGACGCTGTAGCCAGCGGCCTTTAACCAGAGATTGAAATAGCTGGTTGCCGTGTGACAAGCCGCGACCATGCTGTTACGCTTGTGTGAGTGATGTTGCCGAAAGTCACTGTTGTTTCGTCCATAGAGTTTGACTCACGTGTATGGCACAACGAAAACCCAGATCTCCCAGCCGAGGTAGATCCGCTTGGCTTCCTTCCATGTTAACTTCTGCTGGGCCTTTTGACCAAAATTCTCAATCCTGTCGATACCATATTTGACGTGCTGTGTGAGGTGAGTCAGCCATATTCGTACAGACAAGTGCATTTGAGCATTTACCTCGGCTGACCAGTAGAATGCCTTGGTGTTGTGAGGCAGGTCAGGCAACCCGAAGAAGCCCCAGATAGCAATTGGAAACGAGATGATTGCGTCCATGATAAACAACCATCTCCAGCCTGCAATGCCATGACGGCCGTTCATGCTTGTATACAAACCTGCTTGCAAGTATCCGCTAAACATACTTGCAATCGACTCAACCTGGAGGAGGATCGCCAAGCGCTTGGTGAGTTCCTTTGGACCGTACCAGCCACCCAGCATGGCGATATATCCAGGGAAAGCACAGGCCTCGAAGAGACCGATAAAGAACCGCAGTGCGTACATCTTGGACTAGATGTTAGTGACGGAAGGCAAGGGAGGTTCCACGAGTGCTCTCAACTAACCGTTTTGATATTCTTGGCGAATCCCATACCGATGACCAACAGCGACCAGATGAGTTCGCATGAGGGGATGAGAACTGAAGGCCGAATATAGCTGAGCTGTGACATCTGCGCTGGAATACTGCCGACCATGATACCCAGACTAAACCAAGTGTTCAGCCAGTTGCGCTCGTTTCCGTAGAGGCCGAGGTCGGTCTGCATGCCGCTAATGAAGGCATTGCCTGGAAGCCTTGGTCAACAAAGTACTTCCGCACAATGTTTTCAAAAGAGCTTACTATAATTTGTTTGATCGAGATACTTGATGAAGTATCCGAAGCAAACCGTTGGGCTAGACGCAAGCAAGAACTTGTCAGCCCGCAGAACGCACAATCAGGTAGGGCACACAGTCACAAGCGACTTACAAGAAGAAAGTATCAAGTCTCTGGACGTATTTCCTATACTCTGGATCTCCCTCGACAGAGTCCCACACGAGACCTACAGCCTTGCGCCACCAGGAGGGCTTCCCCTCGGCCTCGGAAGCGGCCTCTGTGACAGTAACCGGGACGGCGTCTTTGGGGTTCTTGTCTACATCAGACGCGGTATCTGAGGCTGCCACAGGGGCAATGGCTTTGGTATCCGACATAGTGACCAGTGATTGGTGCCCAGAAGAAACGTTTTCTGCACGATGGTCCCAGCAATCCGGTTTGCCGCTGCTATTCGGTCGGTCTCAGATTGCTATATACTTTGGGTTTGTGACGAGAAACGATTTTTTCCGAATTCTCTAACCGCATTGGATTTAATCATGGACTCATTCAACATGGGCTAGATAACTACGTCGATGTGATTTGCTATTGACAGATGATGCCATTGCAGCCCCTGTGAGCTAACTCGTCTCCCTGAATCCTTTGGCCCCAATTTTACTGTTCCAAACTTTACATGAACAACGACTGTATGCACCCGCAGAAGCGAACGCCCTTGTCCGGAATCTCTTTGGTAAGTGAATAACAACATTTCAAGGCCGTTGCGCCGCTGTCGGATGTCACAGCGGCTTGATTTGAGACGGAATGTCGTGCGGCTGCCCCACAATGTCGTTATCTCACTCCGCTCTGTCGCCTTGCTTGATTTCCGGCATCCTTGCCGGTACCGACAGCTTACCCGGAAATAATCAAGGCATTGCTCGTATCCATTTTACCAAAACCATGAGTCCGGACTCCGGCGAGGTGTAAAGAGCACCGTAACTCTTACCCTGTAGTCTGGCCAGTCCATGCTGCATTTCTGGGCGAAAGACTCCCCAGCAAAACGGTGTTCATCGCATTGCTTTAGCTATGAGAGATGTGACTGTGTGTTTAGAAAAGTACCATACCATGCTGAGAGTTTTCAGTCGAAAAAGCTTCTCTAGAAACTTTAACCTATGGAAGAGACATGAGCCCGTCATATGCTGTCCCTCGACGGCTCAGGATCCATGTCCGGCAGCATGTATGATTGAGTTGACCGTACGGATACAGCACATGTCTCCACAACTTTCCCGACATGCCACATTTTGCCGCCTCCGTGATCGCAAAGACAAGTGGGATGCTTGGTGACGCCAGTTCCGGCGTTTTGTCCCTACCCGGCAATACGAATTTTGTCACTTCGAGGATAAGATACTCCGACCGGCCCCAGCCTCATGAACTGATACCACATGCAACTACGCCAAATTCCCCGATAAGAGCAGGTTCCATCACTCAACTCCGCCCTCATTACAGCATGACGCCAGAAGTCCTTCGATTGTCTCTCGAGAATGTCGACTTTCGACTTCCGACACAAGTCACAGACGACAATAGCGTAACAGCGCTAAAGAGTCTGGTCTTTGAGCCCCTCCTCCGGTGGCAGCCACACGGCCGTGTTGAGCCCGGACTTTTTGACCGATGGGAGCATTCCCCCGATGCCCGAGTTTGGCATTTCCACATCCGAGACGACGCCTACTTCCATGATGATGAGCCTTGCCAGGCTAAGCATATAGTCAGCTACATCAATGGTCTGCTAGACTCAAGAGACTACTTTGGAATGCGCTGGAGTTATAGTCGCTATTTCGCCCAAACAAAGTTCTATGCCGTGGACGATCGGACCGTCAAAGTCGTAAATGCGGAGCCATTTGCGGACATTGAGGGTGTGTTTTGCGAGTTTTGGCCTTCCCGTATCGACGCAAATGGAAAACCGGTGCTTGGAACAGGCCCCTTTCGAGTAGTCGAGTTCGAGCGGGATGAGGGCAATGGGCGAGCTATTCTGCAGCGGCTGAATCCGACGCGACACGGTTCACCTCATACCATTATAGCGACGATGCAGCCAAATGCAGCCGAAAGACTTCGGCTTCTACGCACTGGAGAGGTCGACGCCGCTTTGAACCTCGAGCGGGTTGACGATCTCGACCTGCTGGACTTTGGCTCTACGCTTCAATGGGGTAGAGTGACGAGCACCTTGTCGGCCATTTACTATCTTAACTGTACGGGGGGCATATTTACTTCGCCGGGCGCACGTCTCGCTGTGAATCTTGCCCTCGATAACGAAGCTTTGGTGGAGAAAGTATACCATGGATTCGCGAAGCCATCGGCTACCATCGTCAGCCCCTTTCATCTTGGGTTTCCAGAGTCAAAGTTACAGCCAATCCCGTACGACCCCGCCAGGGCCAGAGAACTGCTCAAAGATTTTGACAAGAGCACGCCTCTGGTTTTGAGGACGCCGGTGTATATGCCGGAACACGCCGAGAAAATTTCAAAATTCGTGGCATCATCCTTGAAAGCCGTTGGATTTGACGTCGAAATCAGGGTCGAGACTAATCGACCAGAGTACGCCCGCCAAATCGGACTCAGAAAGGAGATTGGCAGCCTTGCTCTCTTCGACTCTACGCCCAACAGCACATTTCGAGTGCTGGATGACAAGATTTCTAGTTCATCCCACGCAACGTGGTGGCTTGGTTATCATGATGATGAGGTGCAGAGGCTGTTTCATGAGGCAAGGGGCAAGATTGACTACAATGATAGAGCTGCAGCATATGCTGAGACTCTTCAAAGACTGCAAGAGAATCCCCCTTGGTTGTATATTGGCCATCCAGACGTTGTGTGGGCAACGAGGCATGACGTTGCGCTTAGGATCGGGTATTCAGGAGTGCTCACACTTGAGTAATGAGTCTCAGGAGATGTAGCACAAGGTCAACTTATTGACGGTAAATCAATAGTTTCAAAAATCCCTCATATTTTGCGGTGACGTATGACGATTATTTGGCTGGGGGTAGCTTTTCTAAACTCTTGTATCCGTAATCTCTTAATCCCAAGAGTTCAACTCTTTTGACGACCATCGCCCAAGTCATGCCGCTCCGCTATAGTCCCGAAGGTCCGGATCCACAACTACCGCACCTCGGTATATAAAGCCGGCCGATCACGCAACATATCCTAGCCCAACATTGGCCAGAATCCTTCCACATTGAAAATGAGCACCTCCGCATTCATCGAAAGCCTACGAACGGCGGTTCAGAGGTTTGACGCCGAGCCCCTCCTGGCTTTACCAGACGGAACAATCGTCAATCTAGCCAATGGCTACATTCCGCTGCTCGCCCGATACACCTTTGAAGACAAAGCCGCCAAGGGTCTTCGGAAGCGCAGAGCCGGAGACAAGCTGGAAAACCCGATCCACTTCTCTGCCTTGGAGCTGGTTCGCGACACTCGTGTCTTGCTCTTGACGGGACCGAGTGGAAGTGGCAAGACGACCTTTGCTAAGCATCTTTGCTCCCGCTTAGCTTCCAAGGGCTTCAACGATTCTCGACCGCTGGTGCGAAACGACTTGGGCGATATTAGAGAAGAGTGCTGGGATTCCCGTCCGCTGTTCCCATGCTACTTTGCACTAGATGGCATCGAGGATCTCAAGACATTGGCTGATTCCACGCTTTCACAACTCCTTGGCGCCTGCGATCCTCAAAATGAGGATCTTCTGATCGTCTTGGACGATGTACAGAATGCGGGAGACGAAGCGACTACTCTTCTATCAAAGATTCTACTTCTGCTCCGAGGGCGACCCAACATCAGACTGCTCTTGCTCGGCGACACAGATATCCTAGGCCATTGGAGGTTTCCCGCAGAGGTCGTCCGACATGATCTCCTACCATTGTTGAAGTCTCAACGACGGCAGGCAGTCTGTGCTCATTTGGACTTGGAACCGTCAACTCTCGTCACAATTGGCACCGGTACCGCCGCATCGACTCCAGCTTTGTTCGCCCTTGCGGTGCAAGCCTACCATGTTGGAAATTCCGCCGAGGAGCTGCTTGATACGTGGCTTTCATCTACCCATCCAGAGCCAGGTGTCGCACAGCTAATGGCAGAAAGAGCATACAAGCTAGTTACCCACGACACCTCACCTGGGAGTCTGACTGCGGTACCATCGACCACGACGCAAGACAACCCGGCGCTAGGAAGCCCTGTGGTTCAACGGCTGCTCGCTGCAAAGCACCTAGCTGGTCTTGAATCGCAGGTTGCTGTCGACCTGTTTCATCGCCAACGTCAAGTCTCCCATTACATTCTTAGGAGCTGCTTGTTGCGTCTGATCTCTCTTCAAAAATCGACTGCACTGATTGATGGGCTCCTCAAAGGTACCCCAGCTGACGCTCAGCGTGCTGCTTTACTCGTGGCTGGTCTCATCCCGGTATCTGCCGAGGTCGAGAGGAAGGTGAGGAGTCTGGTTCTGGAAATCGTCGAGAACGGAAACTTGTCGGCTGGCGAGCGCAAGAAGGCCGGTCGCATACTGTCAACGTATGGCGACCCACGAGATCTGGCTGGACTCGCAGATGTTCCCGCCGGAATCTTTGTGATGGGATCCGAAAGTCATCCCAATTCGCAGCCTTTGGCAAAGGTTTCACTCAAAACGTTTCGCATCGGTCTCTATCCCGTCATTAACAAAGACTACCATGCCTTTGTTCAGGAAACCGGCCGCAATTGGGCAAGCCCCGATGGCGCGGACCTGGAGAGGTCCAATGCGCCCGCCACTGATCTTACGTGGCATGACGCGAGAGCTTATTGCCAGTGGCTTACAAGACGATGGCGAGAGGAGAACAAGATCAGTTCACGGGAGCACGTGAGACTTCCAACGGAGCCAGAATGGGAGCGCGCAGCGAGAGGTGATCAACAAGAGTCGGATACTGAAGGGTTGGTTTTCCCTTGGGGTACGCATTGGCAGGAAGATGCTGCCAACAGCGATGAAACTGGATTCAATACGACCTGTGCAGTTGGCCTATTTCCCAAGGGCCGTTCGCCGTATGGGTGCTACGACATGGCGGGACATGTTTGGGAATGGTGCTCGACTCTCTGGGGCGAGGATATGGCGACGCCGGCTTTCCAGTATCCATGGCGTGATGATGGACGAGAGTCCCCAGACGACCCGGATCATATTCGAAGGGTGCTGCGAGGCGGGTGCTTCTCGAGTCCAAAGTTGAAGGCGAATTGTACGTATCGGGGCAGCCTTGAGCCATCGGGATTCTGGAGGGGAAACGGATTTCGCGTTGTTGTTGCTCCGGTAGACTCATGGACTTGAGTGCACTCGACAGTGTGAATTATCAGAGGCGTTCCCGTTCTGGTCATCATCGGCTTGGTCGATTCGTGCTGAGGACCGGCAAAACACCATGGCATTTGCCGGTCTTCGGCGGGCCCCACTTTCAAACATTCCGGCACGAAGGCTCGGCCGGTGTCGGAGACCACCGGCGGACCCGACCTGGAGCACAATAGCGGGTGAATATCGCGTCATTTCACTGCGGCCCAGGAGCTCGGTTCGCGTAAATCTTGGTTCAAATATCCGTTTGGATCTCGGTCTTGTTGGTCACTGCAATTTTCCTTCTCCAACGCTACTTGTTAGTCCCAAGCAATTAGAAGCATTCCTTACGAGGCTCGATCATCGGTTATCGGCCACCTTCCGCAACCATGCCGATCATTTCCGGCTTCACTCTGCCAGAGGCTGCGAGCGCCCTGGCGCTGCCGACGGATTCTACAGTGCCCTTTTTCGTCACATTCACCACCTCAGACCACCCTGATACGGGAGAGTCATGGTGTCCCGACGTCCGAGCTGCCCTTCCTCACATCAAAGCCGCCTTCTCGGCCGGTGGTGCCCCAGACATGGCCTTCGTTGAAGTAGGACAGAGGCCTGAGTGAGTAGCCGAGTGCCCAGATTCTTCTCGGTTCGCTGGAGTGAGCACTCGCTAAGTAGCGCATCAGGTGGAGAGTCCCTACAAATGTGTTTCGGACCAAGTGGAACGTCAACAATGTCCCGACAATTGTTCGGTATGAGCGTTCAGATGGCGAAGTCAGAGAGACGGGCAGGTTAGTAGAGGGCGAGATCTTGGATAAGAAACGGCTGCTGGGATTGATCAGCGACAATGCGTGAAACATCGATTTCGGCGCGCCAGGATGAGGTACATGTACACTTGTCCCGTGAGAGCTAAGCTTTCAGGCGTGATGTAAGCGCCATGGCAAAGCTGTGTGTCAGTGTCCGTCTGTGTCGAGGGATCCGTCGCCATGTTTGCTTTTCACTCTTCTCACCCACGGCGACATCATCATCGTCGTCACCCGCATTGTTTTGTTGCCTTTCGTCTCAGGCAGCAGTGAACAATTTGCCGTTTTAGCCGCCATTACGAGCCTGAAATAGGAGCCACTACCGCTCGCCAATGGTTTTCGGTACTAGTCTCTTCAGCCAATCTCGGCTACATTGGCTCCTGTTCGTTGGTGCTGATGATCAGGGGCAAAAATGAATCCTTCCAAAAATTCTCAGCAATCGCCTAAAAAGTTGTGTTTTGATGCGCGTTGCTCTCCTCTGAAAGGTTTTTTTTATCAGCCTCACGCCTTGCTCATTTCCTTGCTATCAACTTCTGGTCCATCAGCTCTTCTTTTTCAGTCACTCGCTACATCTTCACGATCACTCTCCTTCCACTTGAAAGATGATCTCGTCCACTTTCATAGGCCCCCTGGCTGTTTTGCTAGCAGGCGTGTCGAGGGTCTCGGCGTTTGATAGCATCAGCATCCCGACCACTGTCAAGGCCGACACCGATGTCGAAGTCACCATCCAAAATGACATCGCGTCCGGGAGCAAATCGTTTGACGCAGGGTTCACAAACTACAATCTCTACCTTGCAACCACCCCGCCGGGATGGGGCACCGGCCCCGTGTGCGTCCTGGTCAACGGGACAAAGATCGACGTCACCTCCGTAACGGTCAAGATCCCCGCTGACGCGATCCCTGACGGCTCCGATTACAAGATCACGGCCATGGAGTTGAACTCGGATCCGAACAAGGACGGGCCCTCGGGCTTCGAATACAGCAACGACTTCACCTTTTCGGGCGGCACTGGAGTATGGAGCAAGACGGAGCTCGCGGGTTCCTCGCTGGGCGACCAGGATCACATTCCCTGCACGGCGTACGCTTGCGCGCGCAAGTGCAACGACGAATATTTTGACGAGAGGAACACGACGAGCCAGGATCCCAACGTCTACAAGAACACGTACGAGTGCGTCGCCGCATGTCCCGGCACGACATTCCCGTCCTGGGATTCAGTCATCAATGACAACGGGGGTGGGCAAGGCTCGAGCTCCAGTGCGGGTTCCTCGGCAACCGTGGCGGCAACTGGATCCGCCGCATCAGCGACAGCCTCGACGTCCCAGACAGCAGGCTCGTCCTCATCCTCACCGACGGCATCGCAGAGCGGCGGTTCGCCGTCCCAGAAGCCTAATAGCGCCGTGTCAGTGAGTGCCAAGGCGTCTGGACTTGTCATTATGGGCTTGGTAATTGCCCATAGCTTTCTCTAGTTATGGACTCGGGTTGAGCGGGCCCGTCTTCGGGGAGTTCCTTGTTGTCATCTACGAATGCTAAAACCAATTGCGAGTAACCAATTGAGCCAATAATCTTGCCTACTACCCTTCTTCGGTGTTTCACCTGGATGAGGAAAAGTTTTCCACTCAAGTTCACGACGAATCCCCAAGTCCCCCTACCTTGGTACCGACATTCCTCGCCCGTGAAAAGGTTGTGGAACACTGAGAGACGCGATGCCGAATTTCACGTCAATGGACCGCCCTAAAACGGAATCAGGAGTTATCTCACCGAGCTTTCATGCACATGTCGTCCTAGCGACACTTTCCAAGGTCCCGAGCCCTGAAAGGTGACAGCTAAAGCCCAGTCTGGTATCCGTGCTTCACTGAGAAACCACGAGCAAAAGGTTTTACCTTGTAATTGAGCCAGGCTATGATGTACGATCGTCTTGCTACCCGCCTTGTATGATCATGGCTTATGAAACACAGCCAGAAGCTATTGAGCTTATTATTAGAGAATACGAGAAAGTCATCCACAACCTTTGACTCCGCCGAGGGCCTTCAACTCGTGAAAATAGGTTCCAAATCTAGTAATTGAGAGGCTTCACATCAGGCTATTTGTTGACTCCTTTGCCACAGGTCTATGGTATTCAAGCTCTGAACGAACCCATTAGCAGCGGGGCCGGGCTACTTGTTGAATCGCTCGCGGCGGAGTAGCTAATTCCAAACTCTCGTTTGATTCGTAAACTGTAGATAAGCCCAAACGCTTTTCCACTCTCGGTTTGTCTGATCACTCAGATACCCGGTCCACGAAGAGGTCACACTAGGCTCTTCGTAGAGAGATTTGATGCATGACTACCTCTGTTTTACCAGTGGGTAGCGAACGGAATTTCGGAACGCTTCATCGGCTTTCTTGCGATTTGGCACCATGATCCTCGCCTTCAAACCCCCCTTGCCTGACATAGTTCTCCACCAGCGCGGCCTCCGTGCGACTGCGAATCTCATCCAAGGCCGGTTGGGCAGTCAGCCAACTTGCCACAAGCATACTCTTCATCTGCCAAGTCGAACTGAATCGTCTGACATTGTACCAATCAAGGCTATGACGTCCAAGCTCCGGTTTCCAGGGGAAGTTGGCGATCAGGTGGAGACGCAAGATGGAGGGGTATGTGTCTAGCTGCAGCAGAGATTCCTTCACGGCGACAGTGTACCATCTGGTACTTCCCAACACGAAGCCAAAGGAAGAACCGACAATGAAGGGCAGTGCAGCGGTGCCCCAGATGCTACTGCCTACTATGGCGGCCGAGAGCCCGAGGACAGCGGCCGTTGACGTGCCTGCTAGCATGCTCCGGAGCATCCTGGAATTTGGTTAACAATCACCACCTTTGAGACCAGGAATTTCCAATGCATACAGCAGACCCGGACCACTTGTCTCTAAATGTTAGCTGAGCTTTTGAGCTGGAGTGACGCTACAAACTTGACATTGCCCCATCCGCCCAAGATCCTAAGCAAGTTGAAGTGAGGTTGCGTATTTGCGCCAAACTCATTGACCTTGGAGTGTATTTAGTACAGTATATTTGAGCAACAAGGTAGCAACGATACACCTACCGCATACTCTTGCACCGACATCTTTACGTGGGGCTGGTAGGCTTCTGCCAAATCATCGAGACATATAGTTACAGCCAATGCAGGAGAATGTTGACTGGAAAACATCTCTGTTTGATCCTGGATCGCACTGCATTGGGCCCCAGTCTTTTTAATAAGCGATGTGATGGGCATTTTCATTGGTCAGGACGGCAGAATATCGGCTCTCTAGGCGACTCTAGGCCAGCCCCGTGCGCCGATTGATCCACTCTGCCGTGTTGTTGCTCCGCCATTGGAGGCCAGGTTAGTCATCTTCACTAGGGGAAAGGTTGTTGCCATCTTGGTCATTTCGCGGATGATTACTGCTCATTCGCACATAAGGTAGCAGAAGTCTTGAGGCTATTGATTCATGTTTTGTTACAGATGCGCAAAACGAGACGCCTTGAAAAAATTCGAATTGCCACCGGGTCGCGACGTCGAGGACTCGATCATGTCATTTCATCCCTCATATTGGGAGTCGAGAGATGAGACAATTTTCCCACGGCTACATGACTTGGAATGCTCAAAACTTAGACTGGAAATACGACTCCCCAAGCAAGTCATCTCTTGAGGGAGGTCTTCTTGCTGGTTGTGTGATGGAAATAAGCAGGACCTAGAAAATGCAAGTTCTTATCAATCCGATGGGAAAATCACGCGCAGATTTGTTAGCATGATGATATCCCTGCCAAGTCATACGGACTGGATTTTGAATCATATCAGGGCTAACTCGTATTCTTCGTCGTGTGAGGACACCGATTGCCTCCCAAAGATAGACAAGATTCAAAACGAGAGGACTGCTGTACCGGGCCGCACAATGTATGAGAAATCCGTTATTAAATGCCAGTGGAGCATCAGGAACTTCAACATCGTGGTTCATGGGGTCATGGGAATATATCAGGTCCAAAAACCAACAAGTCAGATAAGCCTAGAGTCCAATCTGGACCTTTTGAGCGAGATATCTGTTGGTGAGACCGCTTCGATTACGTCGATTTTCCGTCAGCAGCAGTAGCGATGGATACAAGTACAGCACGCAAGAATTGCAAGGAATGAAGTATGACGTGGTATCTGATTTTCTGCGTCAAGCTGCTTCCAAGCCGGACCACAGGTGTTTCTATCAAGCTAGGCAGCCACCGGAGTCGCTGCGTTAAGAAGTCCATCTGGCTCACTTTCGCTCGTTGCCAGCCGTACTTTCACCTTGCGGAGGAGCTTTGGCCACATTAACCTCCATCATGGCACCTTACGTTGGAGTCTATTCTCGGGCCGCTCCGTCTTCGGCTGCTACCTGAGCTACTAGTTCCCGGGTGTGCTTCGCTCAAGCTTCTCTCTGAGGACCTAGCTCGCCGGGCCTGGCTGCATTAAGGCCGCTGTACAGCTATCATAAGGACGTCCCTGCGGCCATACTTTTTTGAGGATTTTGACACTGAAGCACTGATGCATGGGGTCGTTGCGGGCAAAGTGACAATAAGACTTCTTCCTGGACGCCGAATGTTCACATGGGAAGAAAAGTTCTTCGTAGTCACACATGTTGAAGTGCCGGTGAGTAGATGAGCGGAAGATCAGGAGGCTAGACGACATGGTGAGTATTCCTTCGTGCTGCTTACTTTCTGTTGCCTGAAGATGTGTAAACCCTCTGTTGATGTATCTTGTAGAGTTTTCGGAGGCTTGTCTATAGACATGTTTGATATTTGTGTTGACACACAGTGGAAGATCCCAAGCACCCAGAGAGTCCTAATTTTATATACGAGAAATGAGGCTGTGGGAACCTACGTCTCGCGTATCACAACGTTTAGTTCAAAGAGTATAATCAATCTTGTTCATTTCACCAAGATCTACGTGTGGCGCTAATGGGTTCCAGCGGTGTTGTACTCTGGTACTACGGTGATGCTGAGCACGTCTCCAAATTACCTGAGGGTGTCAGTCGCCTCGCTTTGTTTGTCCGGACGGCGGCTATTTGGTGGGCTCTGAGGTTGGCCTCTACCTTAGGCGTGGTACAGCGAAACACTTTGACGCTGAAAAACACCGGTAGTTAGGTATAACAGGGGTCACAAGCAGCGTGCGTTATCGATATTTTATGCCTCTGCCTCATGGCGTTGACCAAAGAATACCGTACTTAAGTGGGACAGGAAATCTAGCGACGAGTCTGTAACCTGTGATCAACGCCACAGTTACCCCAAAAGAGCACGCTGATCGCCAAAGACAATACATGGACTGTGCTCCGTCACCGCAGTCCGTCTCGCCAAAGTTTGTAGGGCGCCGTCCCAACAAAGAGGCGGAAGCGGCGAACTGCGTTGGAAACATGAAGCATTGTGAGCCAAATCCTATGGAGATTCCGTTTCAAAAGCTTGCTGATATCAGCTGGCTGTCCGCAAGGTAAGATCTATTGCACTGTGACCCGTAACGTTGGCTTGCGTGTGCACTCTGGGAGCATAGAATAAGAAATCTGTCCGCTCAAACATATAAAATGGTGTAATGTCTACCATAGCCGCGATAGATGAGGCGCGATAGGCTATAGAACAACGTTCTTTGACTAGAATACGAGAGCCCAGGTCATTCCGCTCCCGTCGGCTGATTTGGCAAATGGAGGCGCAGGCTGACATCGTCCGATCGGTAACGGACTTTTTGGGGATGACCGAAACCGTACCGGCTGTAAGATTCCACCGCCATCGGTTCATTCTTCAGCCCGCCTTGGTCCCGAGATCTCCGAACCATTTTAATCACTGTCGCCCTGCAGCACTCCGCAGCGTAGCTGGCAGTGTTTGTTGACATTTGTTTATTTTGCATCGGTGCAGCGTGCCTACCTACGTCCACACATACTATATTCACCGTCAATTGAAGATGGCATCAGTAGCATTGCGCCGCGTCCGACCAGCGACCATCGCGGCTACCGTCGCAGCCGGAGGCATCGGTCTAGCAGCTTACTCGAGGCTGTTCGTGAACAGCGCGTCTGCCGAGTCGACAGCGCCGCCAAAGGTTTTTGGGGCAGGCCCCGCGTTTGTGTCACTGTCGCTGGAGAGCTCGGAGGACGTCAACCACAACACCAAGCGATTGCGTTTCAAGCTACCCCAGAGAGAGGCAGTCAGCGGTCTTTCGTTAACATGTCAGTGTTCGCAATGGCCCGAAATACAAGAAAAAGCAGCACTAATGTTCAAGAACAGCCGCTGTCTTGACCATGTCATGGCCGGAGGGCAGGTGGCTACCCGTCGCGAGACCTTACACGCCCGTGCAACCCCTCGGTATGTATGACAAGAAAGACAAACTCACAAAGTCCTTGGACCCCCGGGCGCGCAATGCTAACGGAAGAAAGATGATGCCGGCTACCTCGAGCTCATGGTGAAGAAGTACCCGGACGGCAAGCAGAGCACGCATATCCACTCCCTGACGCCGGGCCAGAAGCTCCTCTTTGCCCTCGCCATCAAGGGCCATCAGTGGAAGCCCAACAGCTACCGGCACGTCACCCTCATCGCCGGCGGCGCGGGCATCACGCCCCTCTACCAGCTCGCGCAGGGCATCCTCCGTAATCCGGACGACAAGACGGCCATCACGCTCGTCTTTGGTGTCAACTCGGACCAGGACGTGCTGCTCAAGGAGGAGTTTGAGCAATTTGAGAGGGACTTTCCCGGGCGGTTTAGAGCCGTGTACACGGTGAGCAACCCCGCGGCCAACTCCTCGTATCGGAAGGGATACGTGACGAAGCAATTGTTGGAGGAGGTCGGGGCGGTGCCCAAGAACGAGGATACCAAGGTCTTCGTGTGCGGTCCACCGGCGATGGAGGCGGCTCTTGTGGGGAAGAGGAGCGCGCCGGGGATCTTGCAACAGCTGGGGTATCGGAAAGACCAGATACACCAGTTTTAGAGAAGTCTTTGTTTTGAAACATAAATTTGAAGATTCTACTTGAAAAAAAGAACTCGTGCCTGCTTGTTCATAGGCCATGGCGGTTGCAAGAGAGGTCCAATTCTGGCTGTCAATGAGTTAAGGCGACTCGGTTGTTCTCCAAACCTCAAATCCCTACCATCAAATTGATGATGCTACATGAGCGCCAACCGGACTCCAAAAATCAACAATCTTAAATGACCCGCCTTGCTAGCTCAATCGGTAGAGCGTGAGACTCTTAATCTCAAGGTTGCGGGTTCGACCCCCGCGTGAGGCTCAATTCCTCACCGCGATTGGCACAGCCACTCTTCGGGTTCTATTTTTGCCTTTTTGAACGTCATGTTGGTGCGAGGAGGTGAAATCGAGTAGTCAACGTTTCCTTTTCCCAATAGGGGATCTGCGAAAAGAAAGGTAGAAAGAAGTGGAGATAGCGTTAGTTATTACCCATTCCGAGCATGGACGATGTTTGTTCACCCAAGGTAGGCGAACAGACCAAGTACCTAGCTCTCTCCCCAATCTTATGATGGGGTCTCTGTGAATTCTGATTGAGAACTAGACCTAATTTGAGAGGTTCACATGCTACTCATCGTTTATCCCGCGTACGAGTGAGCCGGTCTGGGTCGAAGCTCATCTTTGGGTTGAGTGTCCTACACAATACTAAAGATGTAATTGTGTAAATGGCCGAAATTCACTGAAGTCTCCCCAAAAACAATGGCTAGTTTCAAGGCATGTTATTTTCCTAAACGGCCAAACTTGGCTCAATTTGACGGGCCTCAAAGCTGGTCAGAAACCTCGGAGTTCAGAAAGATACAACTATTACCTATTAGCTAGAGACCACCGTACTTAAGCAAATGGTGACACTTTACTCACGCGATAGCTTCGTGGTGGTGTCGAGGACAGAATCAAGTACTCTCGTGCAGTAGTCACTGTGAAGGTCTTGAATGACTTTGGAGAATTGCAGAGTCTCCGGATGTGTATCACGATGATAGGTCTTGAACGAACCGAGGTCATGCGCACAAATCTCCTGCTCTAGCTCAATGTACTGTTAGTATTACTTACAGGCGATGATCACTTGGAAGCAATTTCTCATACCGGAGAAGAGGGCGTTAAACCCGTCAACGATGACAACATCATTTACTGGTCGCCTTCGCAATGAGAGAAATGCCGCCGTCATTGGAAGTGCCCATTCCTCTCCGAAACATCCTTGAGCAATAGTGCTGGCGAAGCGGAAGTCGGCCTTGTCCGCCGGCGTGGAAGAAGCAAAGCACTGGGTGCGAAGCCTGCACACCCTGTTTGCAAGTTCCGGTTTTTCGTTCGGCAGGCCTAGTTCGGGGCATAGCCTGAAAAGGCCGTGCTCAATGATGCTTTTGAGAGATGCAGAAGTAGATGCACCTGTAATCGACAGCCTTCCTTGACATAAATACTCGCCAAAGTTGTAGCGTTCGCGTAATTGTCGAAAGTTGGATAGGTTGTATGGATGTGTTGCATCTTTCCCAGTAAATGCGTTAAGAAGTGCCTGATCTGAGATGAACGAACCCTCAGGTAGATTTCTCGTATCCACGACATAGATCCATATATCGGACGCTTCGTCGAGCCGCCCACCTTGGAGCTTGATACTGCGATACAGGGCGTATTGTAAGGCGAAGAGCAAAGAGCTGGTCCAAGACATGAGGTTGTCGAAGTTTCTCGCCCACCAACGAAGGTGGCAGTTGAGCATCTCCGCTGCTTCTTCTGCGGGCATCGAAAAGATGTCTCGACCAGCTCTGGCGTGCCCACCCAGAGCAGCTTTGGAGACGACTTCCTTTAGAGATGTTTGACCTGATGTGCTCGGTGCGTGGACCCTGAACAGGTATCGCGGAATCTTGCTCAAAGCTGAGGATTCCGGAGAGCATCGGCCGGGTGAAAAGGGCAGACAGCTATCCGTGGTGGCACTGTGGCAGTGAATGGTAAGAGACGTGATTCTGTCAGCCATCTTGAAGGCAGAAGAGTGTTCCTTTTTAGTTTGAGATGGTCAAGCACGTCTGCTTTGGCGAGACTGGCTCTCGCAACTTCCTATGTTATCTTCGTGAAAACTAATGTCGTTGTGTTACCAGGCGAGAGTTACAAGGTGTGGCCGAGATTCAAGAATACCATCAGAGACTTGGGGCCCAAAAATCGCAAAACGTAAGGAATGACCGGTTGGGTTTTTGGGCTTTATTTGTGAATTGTGGCCATTGATCAGAGTGATGGGGTGTAGGAAAGAGATGAATTCTATTTATGATTTCATCAAGGCTCAAATTGCCCCGCTCTCTGATTCTCCAAGTTGACGGCCTCCTGCATTTCGGACAAGGCGTGCATATACACGATAACGGATCCAGCAGACGCGATAGGTCGCCATTCCCACAAGCAACCAACGAACTTTCTCAGGCAGCAAAGCGCGCAGTAATTGGCTCTTCTTAACCTGTTGCCGTTGGTCGGCATGTGTTTTGATAGAGGCATGCATGTCTCTCACTAGCTGGTGGCTTGGACGCGGCCAAAAAGTTGTGGCTGGGTCCAGAAACTGCTGGTGTATCCGTACCTAAGCACGTGCTCAGGTACCTTAAGTAGAGACGTGTGGGGACTGATAAGATAAGGTTAACTGTAGCCGGGAGAGCGCCCGCCTCTGTGGTACAGTCGGAGATCTCATGTCGGCAGCTGTAAAGAGCGATCTGCGGGTACCTTTATCACACTTCGGTTTTACTCTTGTAAACAATCTTTGTAAACACAATAATTATGGTCCGATTTAGTCGTGGTCTTATTTAACGTGCCTGAGTAGGAGTTGAGAATCGGCGAGTAACGTAAGTCACTCCTAAGTCGTCGATAATTAGAATTCACCCTCTGTTTATGTCGGATTGGAAGCCCAATTCGACCTCGAGTCAGCGCCAGCGCAGGGGCCATCTAAGGGTCTCTATATCAGCGTTTGACCGGCGATCTAACCTACGGTTAGAACCTCTCTTTTCCACTTCACGCAGAGATTAATATAAAAGTAATTAACCTTTTATTACTACGGTTCGATCAAATAAATCACCTTATAATTACATAAACTAATACTAATTAGTAGTTTAACTATTATCGTAAATTAATAAGGCTATTATAAAATAAAAAAAGCAACCTTTTAATACTATATAAGATAAAAAAATTGCGTTATTTTAACTTTTTATAAAGATTAAAAAAAACGAATTTTTAACGCTATATAAAATAAAAAATTTCTGATTTTTTAAACTTTTATTAAAAAAGAAACGTTTATTACGTTAATAACGTTTTTAAACGGTTTATTAATAGAACCGCTTAGGTTAACCGCCGATTATTAAAAAAATCTTTTTTTTTATACTTTTTTTAATTTTAAAAGACTTTTTTTTAATTTTTTTTTTTTTAATTTTTCGTAATAAATATACGAATTTATTTATTTTATATTTATATTAATCGCGACCGGATTATATAATATTTATATTTATTTTATAGCTTACGAAAATAAGCCTTCGTTATACGACGATTAAATTAAAAAAGAAATTAAAAATATAAAGTAAACTTTATAAAATCTTATTTAATTTAACTTTTTTTTCGGTTTTTTTATTACTTTTTTAAATAAATAAATAGAATATTATTTTAATAACGATTTATAAATAAAAAACGAAATTGTTACGAAATTTTTAAGCTTAATTAGCTTATTATAAGTACTTACCGTACGAAAGTAATAAGTATTTTTATAATTTAATAATAGGTATTAAAAAAAAAGGCCAAGGCTAAAGTAATTTAAAAAAAAAAAAACTAAAAATAAATTTAAAACGGTTTTTTTATACTTTTTAAAAAAAAATAAATTACCGAATAATAATAATTTGCTTAATAAATATATACGCTTTTTAAGTATTTATTTAAAAAGAAATATATATATTTAAAACGTTATTAAATTAACCGTAATTTATTTTAATAAAGTATAATAAAATTATTTAAATTAAATAGAAAAAACTTATAATAGTTAAAAACAATATTAAAAGCTTATTTATAAAATAAAAAATAAATATAAAAAATATTATAAAATAAACTTAAAATATAAGAACCGATTTAATTTTTAATAATAAATCGAGCGATAATAAAAAGCTATTGTTATTATTTTTAAATAAATTAAATTTTAATATATTAAAAATTAATATAATAATCATTTTAAATTCGTAAATAAACGGATTATTAAAAATTTAATAAATTTATTTATAATAATAAGGTCTTATTAAACTAAACGTTAATAAAATAGCTTTACAAAACTTTTATAATAACGGTTTAAGTAATTAATTTTTTAATTTAATTTAAAGCGTAAGTTAATTAAGTAATTAATCGATTTAAATAGTTTATTTAACGGATTAAAGAGCTCGAACTTTTATTTAAAATTATAAACGGAGCTATTTTAGCTTCGAAATCTATATTAATTAAAAAGATATTATTAAAAATAAAGTTATTATTATTTTTATAAACCTTTATTACGGCTAATAGATCGTCGGTAAGAACGAGGCTACTTAGCTTTATTTAATTAAATATAAATATTAAATTATAATTAATTAATTACAATTAACACGGCCTTAATCTTTTTTTTTTAAATAAACTATAAAAATCTAAGCTTAAAAACGGCTAACGTATAATAATTAATCGATTTATATAAAAAAAAAATTTAAAAAAAAGAAGTGTTTAAAAAGAAAATATAAAGTTTTATAAAAAACTTTAACTATATTTTATATTAATTATAAAAAGATTAAGATTTAAATTTATTAATATTATTTAGTAATTATTATCGTTTTTATTAAAAAAGCTAAGGAATATTATTATTAAATCGTATATATAATAGTTAATTAAAACGATTTTATTACGATTATTAACGCTTTTTAAAGCCGTTTTAAAATTAATAAAAAAAAAAAAAAGCTTTTTATTAAATTTAAAACCTTATTATTCGGATCGATAATAAAAAAAATAAAAGGTAAATTAAAAATAAAAATCTTTAAAAAGCTTATTTTATAAATCAATAAGATTAATAAAACCCTATTAATAAAGGGAACTAACGAACGAAAGGTCGATTATTTATTAACTATAGTTTAATAAGTTAATAAAATAAAATTTATTTTATAAAACTAGCCTAACGATTACGAAGCGCTTTATATTTAATTTAAAACCGATTTTAATATCGAAACTAAGATACCTAAATAGTAATAGTTTTAGATTAATAAAAAACCGTATTAATAATATTAAATTAACCGTATTTATAATAATAAAGGAAAAGAAATTAAATATGACGCCCGATTATAAAATTAAAACGAAAAAATAACTCTAAATAGCTTTTAAAAACTTTTTACGGTAGGGTTTTATGGATTTTAAAAATGCTATATATATTAAAAAAAGGGTTATTAGTCTAGTAGTTATTTAAAAAAAAAAAAAACCGAAGTATATAAGCAATATAAAAAGGCGAAGGGAACTATTAGTAAAATTAACCTAATTAAATATAATTAATTTTTTATTAATTACGAAGGTAAATTGTTTAAAATTATAAACTTTATTATAAAATTTAAAAATACAAAAGATTTAACCGCTTATTTAATTAATAATAACGAGGATCTAGACGTTTTAAATAAAACTTAATAGCTTTATTTTACCTTATCGGTAATTAATTATTTAATATTTAATAAGAAATAAGCTATAAAAGCTTTAAATAAATAGGCTTTCTTTTATAATTAATTATAATTTATTAATAAAAAGATTACTTAATTTTAAAACTCTTTAATCTAATCCGGGGTAAAAACCTCTCATTTTTAACTTTAAATAAATAAAAAAAAAGGTAATTTTAAAGAAAAAATAGGCTTAATAATAGTATTAAAACCTTTTTTATATAATTTAATTAATTAAACGGAAGGGATCGTATAAACCTATTTTATTAACGATCGATACGAATTAAAAACTTTTTAAAAAATTATTTTAAATATAAAAGTTTTAAAATAGTTAATAAGGGAAGAAGAGTAATTTTAAATTTTAAAAAAGATTTATTTAACTAAATTTAATACCGCTAAGGCCGGTATCGCTAGGATTACGTTTAAATTAAATAAATAGATTATCGGGATTAGAATAATTAATATTTAGACTTAATTCGGTACTATAATTTTTTATATATTACTTATTAATACGCCTTTTTTTTTATATTTAATAAATATAGATCGCTTTAATATTATATTTAAAAACCTTATAAATAGGATTATTAATAATAAAATATTTAAAACCGTTAAATAACGATAAAACTACGTTTTTATAAAGCTTAAGACCGGTATTTCATCGATTTATTATTTTATAAAGACCGAATTATAATATTTTTATTAAAAGTTCGGTTACTTATCGGTTTAAAAGTTTTATACCTTATTTAAATAGTTAAATAACGATGTTGAGATCGTAATAATAAAATATTTAATTAAATTTTATTATTAATATTAAATAAACGTATAAAACTTACGACGATTTAAATTTAAAATTTACGATGAGCTTAATTTTAATTAAAAGATAATAATAAACGTTTTTTATTTAAATAGCCGGCTAATTCTCTATATAATTAATTTAACTACTTTTTTTTAAATAAAATAGTTTTTTATTTATTTTTAAATAAAATGTTGCGCGCTTTTGTGCGGTGAGAATAAAATAATATATTGATGCCCCCTTCTAAGATTTTCCTACAGATTTCCTAGCGAAATCTCTTAAATATAATATGGAAGTTCTGGAGGAAACCTTCAAGAAATCTTGAGGATTTCCTTGTGATTTCCTCCAAGGAAAACGAAAGAAATCTCCAGGATTTCCCTGCGATTTCTTCTAGGGAAATCTTAGGGAAATCTTAAGGAAATCTTAGGCTTTTCTAGGCGCTTCATCCAAAGGAAATCTCTGGGAAATCTTAGGAATTTCGCGGCCCTCTCTTCCCTGGGCAACCGTACACGAAAG